GAGATCAAGCTCTGCTCGATCTAGTTGATTACGACCTTCATCCAGTTTCATGGGCTCAAGGATGAAGAGGCGAGGGTACACCTTGCTCGGTTCTTGCAGCTGACCAACGGTTTCAATCTGAACGGTGTTCTAGATGATGCGATCTGACTTCAACTTTTTCCCTACACTTTGGTGGGGACGCAAAGAGGTGGCTAGAAACTCATCTGCCACTGTCCATCACTTCCTAGGGTGATTTGGCTAACAAATTCGTGCAATGTACTATCCGACCTCGAGGACTGTAGAGATTCAGCGGGAGGTCACCCATTTCCTCCAGGAAGATGATGAATCCTTGCGCAACGCTTGGGAACGGTATTCTGGACTATTCTTGAAGTGTCCCCACCACGGTTTCAGTGATGCATTCATCGTGGGGAACTTCTACAATGCCTTATCCCCAGAGAGTTAGCGCCTGATCGAATTGTTGTGCCCGGGTGGAGACATCCTTACGAAGACTCTGCCAGAACTGAGCCAGATGATCGATACTTTGGCCTCTCGAGATCATTCTTGGGGACATACCACAAGAGGCAGGAGTTCGGGGGATAGAGGTGTACATGCCATGAAGACTATATCAGGCCTTGAACGAGAAGTAGCAAAGCTGGTTTAGACATTGAGGCAACCCAATAGCCTCATGCCTAGCAGAGGCATGGCGGTACATCCAAAGATCCAGTCTCAGTGGTGTGAGAGTTCCAGTCATTCGGTGGATGGCTGTCAGACCATGAGGGAATCCACCACCCCACAGGAGCAGTTGGATTTCATTGTTAATGTTTGGTGCTTCGACCCCTACAACGATACTTATAACAAAGGATGGCGCCAGCATTCGAACTTCTCCTGGAGTGCCAGCAGCGGCAACTACACCAAGCCTCATGGCTTCACCGGACCGAATGGTGGTTTTCCACAGAGGCCACAGTTAGGGGTGTGCAACGGTTCGGTTCGGTCCGGACCAAACTCATGAGAACCGCGGTCCATTAGTGAAAGACATGTTAGAACCAAGGACCGGACCATTCTTGCATTTGGTCCATTTGGTCCGGTTCGGTCCGGTCCAAATATGAGCTCGGTCCACTATTTCTTCAGTAATTATAAAATTCATTAGGACCAAGGACCGGACCGCATTTTACTCGGTCCGGTCCGGTCCTGTCTTAACAACGGTTTTGTCCGGTACGGACCGGACCATTGCACACCCCTAGCCACAGTACCAGACCCGGCAGGGTCAGTTCCAGCCACATCATTCATGGTCTACGCTTGATGTTCACGGCCGTGAACAAAGCCCGATCTGGGTATAAAATGAAAAGGGAGCTGAAGGAAAAATAGAGATTTTCTAGAGTTTTAGTTTTCATAATAAAGAAGGGTTTCTAGTGAGAGATTAGGGTTTCCTCTTCCTATTCTAGAGAGAGAAAGTATCATTCAAAGGAGGAAGAAGTAGATTGGGCTCATTTCAAGCTAGAGGAGTGAAAGTTTCTTCTTCTCAAGGGAGATTCAAGCAACAAGGAGGAAAGATTTTCATCTTTTCATGGTTCTTTCTCTCCTTTTCTTTGTTTTCCTTTGCCTAGCTATGGAATAGCCTACCTATCCACTTGGGTGTTTGTAAACCCTAGCTAGAATTATGTGAATGTTTGTATGGATTGCATGATTTGTGTGTGGTGGTGTTTAATGTGAATGTGGAGGTATTATTCATGAATAATTGTGTTCTGTGAAAGTCTATTATCTATTTGTCATTCTAACCTAGGTAGAGATAACCCCCCCCCCCCCTCCTTTCTTTGAAAGAGGCTTGAATGTTGGGTTTTCTTAGGCGGTTCGGTGTCTCCTATCTAGGTTAATGTAGGCAAACCTCCTATTTTGTATTGGAACCTAGGGTTTGGTTGTGGGCGGTCGTCGAACTCCGATTTGAGGGTGTGGTCTAACCATTCCATAGTCAATAGGTCGAGAGAGTCATGTTGGTGGTTTGGATCGTATCCCCTTCCCTCGACCTAGAGACTAAGAGAGTGGCGCTTGGCTACTTGTTACACTTCACTACCGTTTACAACCCCCTCACCACACACGCCCATTCGACCCAACAAGTCATAATTGTTAGGTAGGGGGAGCAATACCCGGGTGAACTCTTCTCTCATTGGGAAAACCTCAATTTACTTTACTTGCTTGTTTTCATTTGTAAGTTTCTTAGTTTTTAACCCAAAAATGTTTGCTATATAACAAACTAAGCGATTGAAGTATGGGTACACGGAACGGCCCGGGTTTGACAATTAAAACATACTTGCCTATACTGCACCCGACTAGAGTTTAAAAACTTGGGCTCTAACTAGGATTAATTCGCGGTGTATCCGTGGTGAGTCACTCATAGAAAACAGAACTTTGTGTCTGGCCTCCGTAATGAGAGTGGGGAGTGGATCTCCGAGGAGGGAGGAAAGGCTGACATTGCCATTTATTTTTATCAAACTCTCTTCACCTCGGAAAACCAGGTGTTAAACATGGCTGAATAGGTTGTTGAGCTCCCTATAGCATGTCGAGTTACCGATGTCATGAACACCCGTCTTACGACAGAAGTCCTTCCTAGTGAAATTTGGAAAACTCTCTTCTCCATGGGTTCGAAACAAGCACCAGGGTCGGATGGTTTCACGGGAAAGTTTTTCAAGGACCTCTGAGATATAGTCGGTGATTTTGTGATTTCAGCGCTCTGCTCGTTCTTATAGGGCTCCAAAGGTTGACATGAAAGAAGGCCTATGATAAAGTCGAATGGACTTTTCTACTTGCGGTTTTGGACAATTATGAGATTTAAGTCGACCTAGGAGGCTGGGTGCAGGAATGTCTCATATCAATGTCATTCTCTATCCTTATGAATGGCACACCTTTGGGGTTCTTCACACCCTCTAGAGGACTCCGATAGGGGGATCTGCTCTCTCCTATCCTGTTTTTGATTTGCATAGAGGGGTTTGCAGCTCTCCTACGGAAAGCCATTTCGGAAGGGAAACTGGAAGGGTCCAAGAAGCCCCTCGACCTCCACGGATCTTGCATCTGTTTTTTTGCAGATGATTCGTATTTATTCCTTAGAGGCTCTCTACAGGAATGTGAGAATTTGATCATGGTGTTAAATGAATATGAAGAACTTAGTGGCCAAAGGATTAACTTGGCTAAGTCAGCGGTTTGCTTTAAGAAGAATATCGTTGTGCTGGACCAAGAATTTCTTGCTCAGGTTCTGGGTGACGGGGTTGTGGGGGTCCAAGATAAATATATGGAATTGCCACCCTGATAGCCCAATAAAAAATGGCTACGTTTCGATATTTGGAGGAGAAGTTGTTAGCTAGGCTTCAGAGGTGGAAGCAGAGGACTAATGTCTTGGGCAGCGAAGGAGACTTTGATTAAGTCGGTTTCTTTAGTCTTGCCATTACATGTTATGTCATGCTTCAAGTTACCTCTCTCACTCTATCACCTCTTGAACAAACACGTTGCCAGGTTTTGATGGGGTGTGGAGAATGGTCAATCTAAGATACGATGGATGTCCTGACAGAACATGTGCATAAGTAAGCACGATGGAGGAATGGGGTTTCTTCATTTCGAGCATTTCAACCAGACACTTTTAGCCAAGATTGGCTGGCAAATCCTACACTAGCCAACCTCTCTTCTCGCCTAGGTGGATAAAGGAAAATATTTTCCAACGGGGAACTTCCTCGGTGCTACTACGCGTTTTCGTCCATCTTAGGGTTGGCAAAGCATCCTATTCGGCCGGCAACTGTTGGTGTAGGGGATGCGATGGCAAATTGGTAATGGGAAGTCAGCTCTGCTGCTTCATACGAATTGGGTCCCTCAGCTTCATCCTCTAGCCCCTACTTATAATCCCCGGGTCTTGCCAGAAGATGGTGAAATTTCGGTCGCAGAAGTTATTTGCCAAGGGGAAGGGCGCTAGTGTGACTTAAAACTAAGTCAGTGGTTTCACCTGCAAACTTGTCGTGCTACCAAAGAAATCTCTCTTCCTACACATAGTGTTGAGGATCGATTAGTATGTCATGGTACGTCTGATGGATCCTTCACTGTTTGTGGGTATTGATGATCCTTTGGTTGCCTAGATGCTCACCCTCCAGGGGGCTATTCTCTGGTGCCGAGCGGCCGGGTTTACGGAAATGAGATTGAAAGGTGACACAAGGGTGGTTATTGATAAAATCAATCGGTCGGATACCAGGGATAGCCCGATTGGAGCCCTTCTTGAGAAACTTGTGCATTGCTTAGCGATCCATGGTGGGCTTAATGAGCGATTTGTAGGATGGCGTAGTAATAGGGTAGCCCATTTGGTGGCTAGAAAGACCTTTCAATTGTACTCGACTACGAGTAGCTTCTTTAATTTTATGGCCTAGTTAAATTCCAGGATGTAATTATCTATTTTTATGATCAATATATATGATTATTTTTTGTAAAAAAAAATTAACGATTAAATCACAATCGTGCCTCTAAAATACCATTTCGTTAAATAGTTATGTCCAACCTTCATTACAATTTCACGGACTATGAAATTTCAACAAAAAAATATATATATAAGTCCCTCCAGAAAGCAGGAAAATTTCTATGTAGACATCTCCAGCAAAGAGTTTAGGGTTTACTCGAAATTGAAGGTTTGTCGGTATTCATTTCTCTTCATACTTTTCTTATCGCCTGGCTAAGCTATATGCGTCGAAGTAAAATTCCTTGTCTTCCTCTTGGTCTTGGCAGGTATCTCATGAGCCCATTTCGGCGCATCGTGCACATACTGAAATGGCTACTCCGAATGGGCCGATTGTCAATTAGAATTTCAGGCCCAATACCCCTGATCTCGTCCAACTCGAGAAGGATATCGTTTGGCCCAGCAGCTGGTGGAATTTTGGTATTTTACGCTTTCGCGAACGTAAGTTCCTGACTCCTGAGACTTACCATAGGCAAACGACATCGTATCATTTCCCTGGGTGAGATTCTTCGTCAAGCAGAGATCCCCGTGACCACAAGTTTTGGAGATTCTGGTGGGACCCACTCACTCCCTCCTCACTCCTCCAGTCCTCCCCGCCAGAAAGAATCTAAAACAGTCGGCCATAACCAACCAAAAAGTTTCTCGCTCCGGCGAAGAACGACGATTCTTCTTCTCCCCGTCTTCGATTTCGGTCGAAGGGATGGAATCCGTCTGCCGGGCAGCCCAATTCTCTTCCAAACCCACTTCTCCGACGATCCTGCTTTCTCTACAAACCAAGCATCTGATCAGGGCCCAAAAGGGTTGGGCCCGTAGCTTTCCCGCCTCCCCACGCCGCGCATCCCCCAATCGAACGGTAGTAGCAGCGTCGTACGGCAACAACAACAGAGATCATGACGCCGTACGTGAGCGGAATTCGATCGGGAAAACCGTGGTGGCTGTCTCCGCCGCCGTAGCTGCTCTCGTCTCCGTCTATTTCTCCGACCCGCCTCCGTCTTTTGCTGAATCCCTCACGGTGGCTTTCCCTGTCTCTCGCGCTCGTGAGGTGATCTGTTCCTTCTTTTGTCTTTTTAATTCGGTTGCCTTAACTGGGTTTTCCTACGCTGTTTGGTTTTCCAGTTTTTGTTCCGGTTAGGAGGGAATTGAATTGAAGTGAAGGGGTTTGGGGGTTTTGTACTTGTTAGGTGAATACAGTTCAAAGAACGCTTGTGGAGGCATGGGGTCTGATCAGAGAGACGTTCGTAGATCCAACTTTCAATCATCAAGGTAATTTAGGTTGGCTCTAAAAACTGTGTGCAAATATGAGGAATCGAGAGTGGAAATGTAAGCCATTGAACTTCCATCTCTGTTTTGTGGGTGTAGATTGGGATTCAAAGTTGCAGCAAACTATGGTGGAGATGTTTCCTCTTAGCTCATCTGATGCTGCTTATAATAAGATAAGGGGAATGCTATCAACCCTTGGGGATCCCTTTACTCGGATTATCAGTCCAAAGGTCTTGCACTTCATGTCCTTTTCTTCTTTTACTGCGACATTTACATCCAATGCCTGCGAAGAACTTCAAATTAGCATTTGATGAGACCCATCTTCAGTTCAATTGAATAGGTAGCGATCGAGGCAAAGTTTTTATCTTTTGTATAGTTTCTGATGTGGGTTTAGTGTTCACTTACAGGAATACCAAAGTTTTAGAATCGGCAGTGATGGGAACTTGCAAGGTGTTGGCGTGTTTATCAATTTGGAACCAAGAACAGGCCGTTTGGTGAGTGAGATACACACAAAACTTTACTTCGCCTTCAGAAAGGTAGCATTTGGAGATAAGCATTTCTTTTAATGTTGCAGGTGGTTTTGTCTTGCATAGAGGGAGGGCCAGCTGCTCGTGCTGGGGTACAGGAAGGAGATCAACTGATTGAGATTGATGGTATTCCAGCTATCCTCTTCAAAGAAACTGGAATAAGGGTTTTTGTTCAATAGTTGGGCATAAATGTCGACTTATGCATACGCTTGCATGCTATTATGAACAAACCCTAAATGCTCCACTCTGCGTATATTTGCTTTTGCATCTGCTGGGCAAGGGCATTGAATGATTGAGCAAGCAAACCTGACATAGTTCATCAGGCTAGGCACCAAATAACTATCATTACACTATTGTATTTGCCACCACATGCCCATGATTATATTGCATCAAAACTGGAATCTGGATTCAGTTTCAGAGTCATCAACCAACTCACTAAACCATCGGATATTGAATGGTTACATGTCCACCTGAACGATACCAGGTCAATATGGATGTTTGCACTTCATTCATGTTAGAGTCTGGTAAAATTTCTCTAAAGTTTGGCTAATTCATCTCAAACGCCAGGTCAGCGGTTGGATGGTATTGACAGCGAGGTGGCAGCCCAAAAGCTAAGAGGACGAGTTGGGACATCAGTAACTATGAAACTCAGCGTAACTATCCAGCCTCTTACTTGTCCTCCATGAAAGCACCTTTATTCAGTGAAGTTAATATCTGTGTACTGCACAGATGTTTCCTGATTTAAACGATTCCTGACCTGCAAACTGGAATTGAAGTCTCCTTTTTGTTTCCTGTTCCTGATCTGCATGCTCATTTAATTTTGGGCTATTGTAGCCTGAATTCCAATTTTCAAGCTAATACCACTAGATCTAAAGATTCATTGCAAGTAACAGATTCAAGCAAATTAATGGCACTTGTTACTCTTTGCTACCAAATGACAAAGAATCAGCGAAGTGCTTAATGCCTGATCTGTATCTATTTCTGCAGAGCAAAGACTCAGGCAGTGACTCTAGCACCAGAGAGGTGTTAACAATTGTTTCAAGCTCTGTGTTCCTTGCATTTTCAGTCATAGTTGATTATCGGACATCTTTAAGAAGAGTCTGAATCTTCTTGCAGGTCAAATTATCTCGAGAGTACATCAGACTTTCACCAATATCCAGTGCCATCATCCCTCACAGGACACCAGATGGCCGTTTAGCGAAGACTGGCTACGTGAAGCTGTCAGCCTTCTCTCAGGTTACAGAACATAAACAAACATACACAACTTTCTATTCTTTTCGCCAATACATAACCCTCGAAACTCATTTCAACTCGTCTCTACAGAGCGCTGCGACTGACATGGCAAATGCAATTCAAGAGATGGAACGTCAAGATGTGCAATCCTACATTCTGGATCTTCGCAATAACCCAGTAGGTTTGCTTCCCATACCTTCATTTTCAGCTGCAACACCTGAATAATAACCGTCTAACGATGCCTTTTTCGACAGGGGGGTCTGGTGAAAGCAGGACTGGACGTGGCACAAATGTGGCTCGACGGAGACGAGACACTAGTGAACACACTTGATAGAGAAGGTAACATGCAGCCGATTAACATGGTGGACGGCCATGCCATAACACACGATCCCCTGGTTGTCCTGGTAGGGAACAAAAATCCCATTAACACCCCTTTCAAATTGTTCTTATTCTTATTCCCACCCTTGTTTAATACCACTAAAAAAAATGAATATATTCTGCCAGCATTGATCCTCCCCTCTCCACAAAATGGCATCTTTCTTTCCATGTGCAACGGTTGCTGAACTCTCAACTTTTGTACTGATTGGCGGGTCCAACCCGAACAAAACAGGTGAACGAGGGAAGTGCTAGCGCTAGTGAGATATTAGCTGGAGCTTTGCATGACAACGGGCGAGCCATCCTTGTCGGCCACAAAACCTTTGGCAAGGGCAAAATTCAGGTCCATTCATTTTCTTTAACGCGACAAAAGTTCGTTTCTTTTGGCTGTTGGGGTGGTGAATTTGTGTGAACTTTAGAGAAAGGGAATTGATGGTGTTCTGATTCTGCAGAGTGTGACGGAATTGCACGACGGCTCAGCCCTGTTTGTGACGGTGGCCAAGTACCTGTCGCCGGCGCTTCACGATATAGACCAGGTCGGGATAACGCCTGATGTCCAGTGCACGACGGAAGATGTGCTGAGGGAGTATTATTCATCACAGTTGAAGAACAACAACAAGAACAGCAAAGAATACGCCTCCTTGGAAGCCGATTCGTGTATCATGGTCGCTGAACATGAACTGGACATTCAGGAGTCGCGAGGCACAGCTTCGTGAACAATCTCAAAGAACAAAACTGACTCAATCCCACTCAATTGCGCTAGCTTTTCCAGAATCAAGTGGTGAATCGCCAACACTGATCGGCCTGAATTAAAATTGGATCGCTGTTGTATATTGTAGATAGATAGTTTCTTCTGTAATTAAGTGTAAAGATGATAGGATTCCAAGGGTCTCACAAGGGCACTTCGTCATCCGCGTGTAAAAATTAAGCACATACCGCCATTGATGAATTGTAAGAAAGCATAGAAACACCAGCATGGATAATATAAAAGGGTATTATTATACAATGAATGGATATCTCGATATATAATATGTATATAAATAGGTCAATGAATTCGATACAAATCGTCTCCACCTTCAAACATCCCACATAATCAACCAGCTAGTACAGTAAACCAAACCCAAATCTGGAACTAAATAAAAAAACCCAAAACGAAGGAAGAGAGACGGAGATAAAATGAGAAGCAGCAGAGGAAGTAAGCGCCGCAAAATTCACAAGGGGGGAGAGACCCAATGAGGAGAACGAAATCCTCTTTACATCTTCAACAGACCCATGAGAGACACGACGACAGAGACGGCGACGAAAGCGCCGGAGGCGGGAACGGAGAACCCAGCGCCGGTCACCTGCGAGGGCGAGGGAGCCGGGGCCATTTCCTGGGCGGAGACGATGGTCGCCAGGGATGCGACCAGCAGGAGCATGGAGAGGGCAGCTGCCTTCGAGAAGCTAACTTGGGCCATTGTTGGAATTGCTTGAAGGAAAAGAGCTGAACGAGTATTTAGGGTTTGAAAGGCTCTGTGGGTAGAGAGATGAGGAGCAGAGAAAGCAGAGAATGGAGCTCTGATATTTTGTGTGGCGGTGGTGGTGGGATGGAAGAGGGTAATAAGAGCGGTTTATATAGAGGGTTTTTTTTTTGTGTAGACGCGGCGGGTGGGACCCATGTTTTGAACGGGAATAAAACAATTAAATAATAGTGGTTTTTTTAATGTTTAATGACAGCGAATAATAGATAATAATAATAATAAAAAATCAAAATTGTGGAAGTTAACCGACCAATAGTGCGGTGGCAGACTGGAATAAGACAGCCCAGCCCATAACACCTGGTGGTGTGAAATGAGTTGTTGAACAAACTACCGCGCCACGAGAAGTTCATTCCTTCTTTCTTTCTCTCTTTTCTCTCTTTCTATGATTACGGTATAAAGTTGGGAAATTGTGCTGTAAAGCAAGCATAGGTTGTGGTGTGTGGAAAAGTTTGTTCAGTCAAAGTTAAGAAATGGTACTACTCTCTCTACCAGGGGCGGAGCTACCTTGTGCCTCGGGGGGGCCCCGGCCCCCCCGAGAATTTTGGAGATCGCGTGTAAAAATATCGAGAATTTTGAAAATTCTGAAAAAGTTAACTATTGTAGAATAACAATAACGTGCAATAATGAGCAAATATGTTTGGGTCTAGTCTAATGGAATGCAGCTACTTGGTATTTGTGAATACCAATACCATGGTTCAATCCCTGATAGCAACATTGTTTTTTTAGTTTTCCTACTTTGGTTGAATTTTTGTTTAAAATTTAGATTGATCACTTAACTTTTAAACTTATTCAAATACTTTTTAATTTCAAAGTTCAAACTAGATAATGAAATTTTGGGGCTTATAATATTTTTCTAATTTAGATAATTAAATTTTGGAGTCTAGATAATTAAATTTTGAAGCTTATGACTCACAATGTAAATATTTTCTTAATTTTTTTTACGAATATTATACAATAAAGTCCGGCCCCCCCGACCACTAGATCCTAGCTCCGCCCCTGCTCTCTACCTTCCTTCATTCACGCTTACCTTGCCTGTTAAGGTACTTCCATGTCGACCTGGTGGGAAATGGCTCGTTTTTTTGGGTTTTGTGTGGACAGGGCGACAGGCATGTGACAGCGTCAAACTAAGCAATCGTCTACGAAGAAAATTGGTCAAGGAGGAGAAGAATTTGGCGAGTCATGTCGATAACTTGTATGAATAAGATGGAAACAATTGCGCTCTTGGTTGTTACTTCAATTTAAATTAACTAACGAATGAAAGAAAGATACGATGTGTTGTTCCTCTGGTTCTCGATGCTAGTTGTACTTTAGATGAGTATTTTTTTAGTTTCGTTTGAAAAAATTTCAAATAAATTGAAGAAAATTCAAAAATAGTTTTTTGTTTTTAAAGCGGCAAATATTAATTCGAATAATAAGAATTTAAACTTTCGAAATTACGTGGAGAAAAGGTTCCTCGGCTTCCTCGAGAGCCGTAATATTTCAATGATGAATCATTCATTTTAAAGTTTTTAACTGTTTTGCTTCTATACATTTATGCTAGTTTTTTTATTTTAATTTGTGAATGATTGACAATTAGGGTATTTTAAGTTACAGTAAACTTTACTAATATGTAAAAAAAAAATTATATAGTAAGCTTTCCTAACAACAGTTGTAACATCATAGACAAATCTCATATCAACAAAGTACAAAAGAGATCCATGATTCATAAGGAAGAATGTAACCTTAACTAACAAATTGCATTTTTGGAAGAAACTAATGAGTTCTTGTAAGAACTCTTCAATTAAACGTGCTTGGAATGAAGCCATACACACTACGGTGATGCGTGACCCTTGAAATTCTTTACGGTACACCCCACAAGTAAAACAGGGAAAAAATATATTCAAAATCAACAATATTTAGATAAAAATGAGTGAGATGTGACAATACTGGTGATGTTTATTTTTTTATCCAAAACTTTTTCAAATTCTTTTATATTATCCAAACCTATTAAAATGCTATTATTTAGCCAAATCTTTCGTAATGCATCAAGATATTAGCCCTTTTTATGTTATTGTTAATAGTTTTTTAACTTTTTTCTTAGCTAAAATACTAAAATTTTGGAATGTTGACCTTCATATATCTTTTCCAAGTCAGTATCATGTTACCAAGTCAATAATACTAACAAAATTGCTAATTGAAAGTCAACATTTGACTAATTCTTAGTATTTTGATAGGTTTAAATAATATAAAAGAATTTTAAAAAAAATTGGATAAACAATAAACATCATACTCTTAACAACCTTTGTAATAAAAAGAGTTGAGATGTTATAATTTCCTTCCAACACTAATGAGTAATCACAAAGCAAACAACATGGCTTCAATTCACAATAGTAATTTATTATATTCTTTTATATTATTATATCAATGTCCCATTTTGTATATTTATAATCACTACTCTTTTTTAATATTTACTCGTTGGCTGCAACTTTTTCCCCCCCTCGTCGACAGCAAGGGATGGGGTGCGCAATGTGTTAAGGTTCGTGCATCAACTTTTTGAAGGATGATGATGATGATGTTTGTTGTTAGTAAATACTCTATTTAATACACGTATATGTATCCGTATATATTTTATTCGTTTAAAATTTTTGTATTTGTATTATTGTCAAGCCGTTTTCTTTTTTTTTCCGTTCATTTGATGGCTCCCGTAATAAACACGTATAAAATCCGTACAACACGTTTAATATCCGTATTTAATGAATTAAATTGTTAACTTTCTAATTATTTAATAATTTTTAGAAAATAAATAATTTAATATATTTATGACTATTAACGTACTATTAAACGTAACATTAACTTAGAAGTGAAGTAAAATACCCGTACGTATTTTATACGTAACTTTCCCGTACCGCATTTTACTAACTATGGTTTCTTCTCCTTACATACTTTTATCTCCTACAAGTAATCTCTAAACAGTTCAAATTTAATCTACTTCTTATCTGGGTAAAGCTTGTCGATTAGAATTTAGAAGTACCAAATTATTGACTACTCAGTAAAACCAGATTTTTTTTTTCTCAAGAAATTTATGTGAGTGCATTTTTTCGTAACCGTTGCATAATTTTCTTATGACAACAATTATTTCACCTTAATTTGTAACTCGGTCAAACAGGACTCATAACTGAACACTTAATCATTTGCTCTCTTTCTCTTTAGGGTCGGACACAACATGTATCCAGTAGAATCATTGGGGAGAATAGATGAGCTTCAATATAACCTTTGTCATTGACTTGGGAGAAGGTTTGATCACTCCTCCATATGAAATTATGAGGCTTTTGCACAATCTCCGACTTATTTGGAAGAAAAATTTCATCGAAAATTTTACTTAGATGTACTCCGCACTCGATTCATATGATCGACCCGAAATATCGAACTTATGCACAGATGAATATCTAATGAGGGATACTAAAACCGTTGAACAAGAGTCTAATTCATCCGAGAAAGAACGGCAGTATTGAAGATTTAAAGCATGAGTATATAGTAAAATTAATAATCTCTTATAATGTAATAATATATATGGGATCAAAGAATTCGATACAATAATGTGTCTCAAACCTCAAATCCCCAAAACCGATACAAAACCCAATATAGACCCAAACCCAAAACCAGAGCAGAGATGAGATAACAATTGAACCAGCGAAGAAGCAGGGGGGAAAGAGAAGAATCCCCTCTACATCTTCAACAAGCCCATGAGAGACACAATCACGGAGACGGCCGCGAAAGCGCCGGACGCCGGGACGGAGAAGCCAGCGCCGGTGACCAGCGACGGCGAGGGAGCAGGGGCCATTTCCTGGGCGGAGACAATGGTCGCCAGAGACGCGACCAACAGGAACACGGAGAGGGCAGCTGCCTTCGAGAAGCTTACTTGGGCCATTTGGTTGATTGATTTGAGGAAAAAAAATGGAGCAAAGATTATGGGTTTTTGGGTTTTTGAGAGTGCAGAGGGAGAAGAGAAGGGATTTGAGATTGAAGCTGTGATGGGTTGGAAATGGAGAAGGGGGCAGGGGGTTGGTTTTATACAGAGGGGTTTGGATCCGACCGTTGAGGGACCGGGACCCGGCTCAAACGGTCACTAAAAATAAAATAATTCAAGTGTAATAAAGTGAGCCAACCAAACGGGAAAGAAAGGATTGGGGATAGAAAAGACCCGGGCTGGTTTTTGGGTTGGACCGAAACTCTAGCTGTTTTTGTGTGGTTCCATCTGGTGATCGTGGTGATGATTCCGATAATTGGAGAGCGCCATATACAACACGGCGAATTCAGGACATTGTAGAGTATTGTACCACATTTGAAAAGAGGTGAAGAGGCTGGACCGTGACTCGACGAGCACTGGATCAAATATCTAAAATCGGAAAAAATAATTAGAAGTGCTATGCTAACTTTGGAAAGGTTGGACCGTGACCCGGGTTGGCTGTCTCCTTGGATCTGCCACTGGCCACATAAGTATATTTTTCGTAGCAGGTTTGAACCTTTTAATTTCAATAGTGAATCTGAACAAACTCATAATTTTGTGAAGGTGTTAACTCATGATCGTGCGTCCGAGTTTTAAAATTTCGATTGATAAAGCGTCGAGCTTTCTTCGAGAAGCATCTGGTTTGTGTTATCTGCAATTGCATCAAAAGTAAGTAACCAAAATTTCTTTTTCCAGTGTGCGCCAATAATTGTAGTTATTATGGTTTGGTTAACTACACCCACTTGTAGTCATTGAAATATCTAATAACGTTCATTTCAGGATGTTTAGGTTAAGTTACAAGGAAACTTCTTGCTTTTTCTATCTTTTCGTTGATAATTCTTCTTCATCTTCTTGCTATTTGTCACTTACTCGCTTCTCTTATAGTTAAACAATTTATGCCTTATTTTCTCACTTCCGGAATTAAAAATGTGTGTATTGGTTGTTGGGTCTATTCATCTTTTGGGTGGACAGCAAATGATAGGGTGGAATGCGTCTAAGGTTCCTGTATCGACTTTTCTGAAGGATGATTGATGATTGATGATGGACTGTATTTGTCACATATCCCAAATTATTGTATTGCATAGCTCCATGCCAGTCAAGAT